GCGTCTCGCCCGGCTTGAACACCAGCGTGCCCTCGCTGGGGAGGGCGAGAGGAGAGGGCGTCAGGCGGGGCCGGGCAGCGCGCAGCGCGGGGAGAGGCCCCAGCGGTCCGCTTCCAGAGTCTGCCTCCTGACTCGCGCCAGGGGTGCGGAATCTGGTGTGGACCCGCCTGAGGGGCAGGGACCAGCGAGCCGCCCTGTCACTCTGATAAAGCCAGCTGTGGCCCACGAGGAAGCCCACCCTCGGTAAGTGGACGTCCTATGCAGGGCACACTCCCCAAGCACCTGGGCCACCGGGCGCTCGGCCTCACGGGAGAGCTGCGGCACAGTGACGGACAATGACACTCCTAGCGGCTTAATCCCAGTCCATTCCCTCATTCAACAAACACCAACAGCACCCGCTGTCCCCCAGGCACCGTGTGTGTCCAGGGCACAGCAGTGACACCAGGTCAGGGGAGGAGGAGGGAGGAGCTCCCCAGCGAGGAAGCACAGTGCAGAGCTCCTGAGGCTGAGCTGGCCCGTGGTACAGCAGGTGGTTGCAGCAGAGGGACTGAGGGACAGCGGGGACGGTGACAAACCTCACAGGGCCTAGGTGGGCTGCATCAGAGCAAAGGCCCAAAGGCTCAGGGAGGTGGGAGCCATGGCAAGCTCTGGAGCAGAGGGGAGTGGAGCGCTGGTTTAGGGTCTCTGCAGCACCCGCAGGATATCCTGCTGCAGGAATGAGGCAGTGCCACCAGATTAGTCAGGGGACAGGGAACGAGTGGGCTTCCCTGGCAGGGCTGCAGAGATGTCACCGACTCTGCCCTCCCAGTCTGTGTTCTGTGTGTGAGGCTGAGCGCCTGTCGGGGTGCCTGACCCATGGTCCCAGCCTCCTGGGAAGACTGAGCCCTCGACCAAAGTTAGCCAGTAACCCTCACGTGTAATATTGGAAGCACAGAATCTAAAGCCTCAGCTGGTGTGATGGTGCTGTAATCCCAGCACTCTGGGAGGCCGAGGCAGGAGGTTCATAAATTTGAGCAATTTAGCATGACCCTGACTTAAAACACAAAAAGGATTGGGAATGTAGCTGAGGACCAAGGCCCTGGGTTCGATCCCCAGTATCACAAGAATGAGCAAAAGACACTGAAAGCAAACAGGACAGGACACAAACAGCTGATGGCTCTAGTCACAGTTATGCGAGAGTCGGGCCAACTGTTGATGCAGCCCTTCTGTGCTGTGAGGCTTTCAGAATAAAAGGTAGGGGGTGGGGATAACGGTGGTTCTAGGGGGCCAGCAGCAGGTCACAGAAGGCTCAACTCCCAGGGCTCCCACTCCAGAAGTGGACAAAACAAAGATCTTCGAACTGTGGACTGGGTACCGGCTGGGCAAGGGTTACAATACCAATGTCCCAGAATCCTGGGAGTCCTAAACTTTAGCACGCAGTGCGTTAGGGTCACAGGGCTTGTCTCTCGGAATGTTGGAGCAGCTATGCTGTTTGGGGGCCTCAGAGATCATGTTTAATTTTGAGAAAATGAGGGCCACAGGGCTATCCTAGTACAAATGAGAAGAGTGCTTTCTTCCTTCAAGGTACGTATTTCTACGAGTCAGGAATTTTCACAAGAGACATGCAGATCTACCATGTCCGTACCTGACGTGGTACACCCAGGAGGACACAGTGTCCCGTCCATGGGATTCCTGTCCAAAGTGCACAACTTAAGTCTAATTTCAAGGAAGCATTACACAGATGGGGACCTCAGATATGGTCCCTTTGTGCAGTGCACAATCTCAACAACTGTACATAGCAGCCTTAACTGCCTGGACTGAGGTAGAGAGTTGAGTTGGTCTGAGGACAGATTTAAGGATGAGTTCCAATAGTAACTTGCGTCCCTCGTGTCCCCTTTATCCTCAGCTCCCTGATAAGTGATGCCAAGGATTGAATGCAGACTGGGATGGCAGAGCCGCAAGTCCCATACAGTGAATGCAGCGCCCTCGCCCAGGGAGACAGGGGGCTGGGTGCGGTGATGGTGGGAGCACCTCCATGGGTGGAGGGCTGCCAGACCGACTGAGGCAGAGGGCCGGAGCCGCAGGTACCCAGCCGTGGAGGGCGGTGGCAAAAGTGAGAGGGCCGAAGCGGACCGGAAGTGTTTGAGACAGAGCCCAGCCAGAGAACGGCTGAAGGCACAGGGACAGTTCTGCTGTCCGATGAGGCTGCGGGGACCCTGCTGGCTACCCTCTTCCCAGGCGGGGCCCTGCTTGAGTTGTCTTCACACTTCGCGGTTCCTGTCACTGTCTTTGTGTTAGGAAAATTTCTGAGAGTTGGAGCCAGCCTGGACTACATAGTGAGACCGTTTCCAAAAAAATCCAAAAACTACAAACAAACAAAAACCACCAAGACTGGGAGAGGAGGCCCGAAGACCCGACTGAGTCACTGTGTGGACCAGAGGCCAGGTGTGCGGCAGGCGCCCACTAAATGGCCCTGCTGTTGTGGACGCAGGAGGCGCCACTCATCGCACAAGAAACACAGGCCAGGGCTGTCACAGAGCCGCAGGGTTCTGGGCCAGCGCTGCAGGTAAATTCTGACTGAGGAGGTCTGTGGCAAGTGAGCTCGTCTGTGGTGTTCTCTCACCATCAGACACACCTGCGCCGGCTCTGGCACATGGCAGGGATGTAAATGTTTCCTAATCCTCCTCACGGTAGGGGCAGACTGGCCACGGTGGAGCGGGCCTGCAGTCCAAGTACTCTTGGACGCTGAGGCAGGAGGGCTGCGAGCTGGAGCCCAGCCTTGGCAATTGAGAGACTTAATGAGACCCTGTCTCAAAAATTAATAATCATAAAAAAGGCAGGGGATATAGCTCAGTGCTAAGGCCTTGAGTTCCATCCCCAGTACCAGAAAAACAAAACAAACAAAAACAAAAAGCAGGAGACTGGATCACGCAGGAGATAAACACACAGGAAAGCAGGGAGGCAGTACAGTTTTGTCACAGGAAACACGAGCATTACTAGAGGCCTGTGGGTGGGAGCCTGATCTGTCTTCAGACCAGCGCACAGTAAGTGCTCAGTAAGTGTTTTGACTGTGAGAACAGGAGGGGGCTGTCTTCCCAGGCTGCACGGAGAACAACAGTAATTCAAACAACGCAGCAGCCAGGAGGAACCTGGACAGGGTCAGACACCCAGGGTGGGGGAGGAGACAGGCAACAGGGAGCCCCTCAGAGGGCACAGGCGCTGCAGGCGGGGCCACGGCCACCATCCGTGCACACAGCCCAGTCCAGTGCATGGGGTCAGGTGTGTGCCAGGAGCCCAGAGGAGTGGCGGGCACAGCTGGCCGAGCCAGGAGTGGGGGCGCGTGTCTGCAAGCAAGACCCAGCCAGGGCACACTGGCGACTTGTGAAACTGTTGAAATGAAGACCTGGGGATATAGCTCAGCGCTACTGGAAAAAGCCAGGCATGGTGCTGCACACCTGTCATCAAAGCACCTTGGGAGACTGAGGCAGGAGTGTCACAAGTTCAAGTCCAGCTGCGCAATTTATTTATTTATTTTTGAGTCAGGGTCTCCCTAGGCAGTTCAGGCTGACCTTGAATTCACTATGTAGCCCAAGATGGTTTTGAACTCAGAGCAGTCCTGCCTCAGCCTCCTGAGTGCTGGGATTCCACCATGGGTCATTACGCCTCGCTTGGCCTGGGCGATTTAGTGACGTGGTGAGACCCTGACTTGAAAACAGAAGTGCTACCTAGTGCGCTGAGCCCTGGGCCCCGTAACGAGGTACTAGTGGTGCACAAACTCTGGGAGGCTGAGGCGGGAGGATCAGGAGGATCGCAGCTTTGAGCCCAGCCTGGCCAAAGTGTCTCAAGATAAATAATAAAAACGGCCCATGGTGTGGCCCAGGGTGAAGGCCTGGTTCAATCCCCAGTACCGGGGGTGGGATGTCACCCACCTGTACTCGTAGTCGGAGCCCGCCTTGGCCGAGCCGTCCTCCGTGCGGTAGTCCACGTAGAAGGTGCTGTTGCCCTCGCCGCCCTGGCAGGTGACGGACAGCAGCACGGAGCCGCAGTTCTCCAGGCAGTGGTACAGGCTGGGCTCGAAGAAGATGCGGCTGGCGCCGTCGTCCTCGTCCTCGCCCGCGCCCTCTG